TATCGGAACTGTTTTCTGACGCCTATAAACGAGACAAAATGCCTTTATATAAAATCGGCTTCGATACTTAGAGTGATGACATAACGAGGAAAGGATCATGCCGGCGGCATCGCTTCTTTCGCCTATTGTTCGTGATAGCCTAGATCAGGGGTCTCAAACACGCGGACCGCATGCGCCCGCGACTCGCCGAGACGCAGCCCGCAGGCAACCGGCTACGAGTCCCGGTTCCCATGTCTCAAGTACTAGAAATGGCCTGCGCCATCGTGATCTCATCTCGCCTATTCATTTTCGCTCGGAAATTGGCCCTCTTTTATCAACTTTTTCACATCGTTTTTACATACCGTATTTGTGTTCATTTGCCCTTTGTTTCGCTTTATGTTTTGCTTCCCAGTTTTTTGTAATGTACAACAATTCCGCGACTAGGCTGCAAGCGTGAACTCTTCCTTGAAAAATGCATCTCGGAGAACTCTCGATCAGCAGGAGCAATTGCTGCCTAAGATAAAACTACAAGCCCGGAATTCTCGCCTTAAAAAAAATATATATATATATATATATATATATATATATATATATATATATATATATATATATATATATATATATATCGCCATGAAAAGACAAGTACATGGGTGTTGCAATGAAAATCTTCGGGAAAGCAAGAACTGCCAAATTAACTGATTCTTTCATAGAGACATATCGAGCTTGGTTAATTCGCGAGTGAATTGAGCAACGGGAACGACAGTGTACTTGCTCTCCTATTTTAAAAATGCGAGCACGTTGGCGGGGCGGTGTCATTTTAACTATCATTATCACATCAAGTCAGGGCCCAGAGTAGTTATATAAACAAAGGAAATCTAAAAACGTCCCTCGGAAAACTGAGTTTACCTAGATTGTAGCCTAGATTGTAGAGAGGGTCCAACTCAAACTGTGGGGAGCGTTTGCCGTTTGAAAGCGGACGCTTCTATCGGAGATTGGTCGCAAGTGTATCTTGTTAGCTCCATAACCTAAAGGTGTACCTTCTGTTTGCAAGTAGAAAAATGCTCATGCACTGTTTGGTGTAGTGTCCTTAGGTATGGTGTAACTCTATTTTTTAACTGCTTTCGACAATGGCACGCCAGAATTGATAGCATTCTGAGGGGGATGTTGAAAAGTGTTACTTCAACACCTCAGGTGATAACTTATTTAGTTTACTCAAATTGTCTTGTTTCTATTCGTTATTTATTCAGGCGGCTGATTTTTGTCACTTTCGATGCAGTGATTTTAAAACTGAGAGTTTGGCCCCACGTATATTTAGAACACTACTCGGCTTTGAAATTCCTCGTATCTATACTCATTATGGGGAAAGCATTAGGTAATTTTACGTGCCGAAGATTTTTAATGAGCTACCAGATAACTTATTCTAACCATGGGTTCAAAAAGAGTCTGAAGAAATTTATTACATGATATCACCAAGTGATAAATCTACAGTTAATATTTAGTGAGTTATGTTGCTACCTGCTATTTCTGCAAGGAATGGGCTGTACCGCAAGGTCATGCAACATAAGCCTCCCTTGGCTCACGCAGACCTGTATTTGTATTTGTTTATTGCTATGAATAAAAATGTATAATTATTATATTATTAATAGTATTATTACTAGTATTATTAAGTGCGCATGCACTGCGTTATCGCGTGACTATACCCCGTCTCACTAAAACTGTGCAGTACAGCCTAAGCTACAGGAGAGAGTGTACCCCTGACCTGTTCAAGAGGAGGGAAAGGGGGAAGGAGGGAATCCCGTCCCCCGTTCCCTCCTCGTGAACAGGTTAGCACATGCTCTCTCCCCTGTAACTTTGGCTGTACTGCACGGTTTTAGTGAAATGGAGTATAGACACTTTTCACAAGGGCGCCCCAGTATCGACGAAAACGTTGTTTTGCCGTCGCTACGCCAATATAATATATTTAGGATATAAGTGGTAGCCGTCACACATTCTCGTTTTGCCGCCCCTCTATTTATTTATTTTTATTACTATTTACAGGTTGAAGCGTTTTATTATTTTTTTCGTCGCCCATACACAAATATGCGGATGGCTCCGGTCAGCTGTGCCCGGAAGCAAAGCGAGAGGCGCCTTGGGGTCGCCAACGTGGCCTTCAACGAAGGATTATTGAGTTGACTGACGAAGTTCGTCCCGAGAGCCTTGGAGAGATTCCGCCTTCTCCTAGCTTCTGGCGCATTTGTGGGATTATCCCTTACCGCATGGATTATCCTCTTCCTCCGTCCGGACTTCGATGGCGACACAGCGACGAAGGACGTCTGGCCCCTCGGCGCGGGTGTGGTTAACGCGAATGGCGGTGTTTGAGGGAGAAGGAAAGGCATAGCTGTACGTTGAGACAATGGCCCTATCGCTTTGGCCGGGGCATTGTCCATCGGGATTCCCTGCTAGCGATATGGAGAAATGTGACGTTATAAAAGGAGCGGCAGGCGGCTGCTAGCGTGGGTGCGATTGCGCTATGAGCAAAAAGTTTCCATATGCCGCCAACGAAGTTTTGACACAAAAAAACCATCCTGTCGGCAAAAAAAAAGCCGCTTGTAGTAAAACATTTACGATCTCGCGAAGTACTGGTAAGCAAAGTAAGGTTACCGTCATTATCTAAACCCTGAAAAAAGGAGAAAAACAAAATACTGAACAAGACGACTCTCCTTGTATCAAGGTTTAAATTATATTTCCTAAACAGCTCACGTGCACACTTTCGCTCCTTGCCAAGGTTATCGTGTCGCAGACGGCACAAGCCGATGCCCCGGCGGCGGCGTCTCTGTGAGCGTGCACACGGCGGCGCCGCTGACCGATCGCCGTCTGGCCGGGCAAACAGCCCAAATGTGCGCTTGAAGCGTGGAAACGGCGTGATGAAACGAAAGGCCAAGGGTATCCACAGGAAGAACGGAGAAAGCAGAGGCAAAGGTGTGCACCAACGTAAACAACGGTAGAAAAGTGCGGTCGCTCGCCGCTATGAAATCCGTCCGCAAACTCAGTAATGCGCGCCCGCATTCCTTTCCTGCTGCTCGTACTTTTTCTAACTTGATGATTACTCTGTCGCGGGGCATGCCGACGAAACGCTGGGCGGGGCACTTAGCAATTGCTACAACCGAGCGCGGCGCAGTTTACCAAGGCTCTTGCCGCGAATCACCATCGACTCAACCACCAGCATGGGTGTTACCGGTGTTCAACGTCGTCATGTGACGTAGGTTCAAGGCATGTATACAAATGACGAAGCAGATTCCACTGGAACAAAATGGCGCCATTCCGTTCAGTCTTCTGCTGTGCGCCGCCATTCGCTTCCTTAAAACTGCACCGTCACGCAGTCGGCGCTTCAAAGAATGTCGCAGCTTGTAAGAGTTGCTCGTATGTAGGGACTTTGTAATACCGCGATGTCTTCTGCTCTGCGCGCGGTCAAGTAGTGCCAGGAGCACGTTGACAGGTGCTTTGGAAGCAAAAAACAAAACACGAAAAACTTCAATAAATTTTATAACTGAGCTCTAATAAACGGACGATGACGAGGCTTGTATTGGTGGGGAACACGTATCTAAGCACCACCGCGAAAAAAAAAAAAAAAAATTTCCAATCGGGCATTGTGGCGTGGGAGCCAGTTTTTCGCGCAGTGCAGCTGTTCCTTTATTTTTATTGTTTTCGCCTGGCAGCAGTTGCTACACTGCGAAGTTTGAAATGCTTGGATGATAGCTGCTCCGGTTTCTATTTCCGTGCTCGCTCGATTGGTTGATCCAGAGCCTTTTGTACTGGGTTGATCACCTACACAAGTAGAAATATTTGTACTGTATTTTTTTTTTTTTTTTTTCAGGTTATTGATACACTGAGTGAGAAGTTGTTTGATGGTGGGCGAGAGATGTGAACTAATTGTGCAGTCCAAAAAATTGGATATATGTAAAATTCTTTAACCCAGTCCCTGCTGCTTTGCGCCGAAGTGCCTTTTGGCTTGCTCGCTCCAATTTTGAGTCACAATACCCGTGCACAAACTAACAAACCTACGAAAAGAAAAAGAAATTTGTGAAAAGAAAGCAGGAATATCTGATAAGGAAATTCATTTCCCTTCGCAATTTACAAGCATTGCTTTTTCATGCAAAAATAACAACTTTATTACCGTTCGAGAGTTATTTCTGTTCCTCGCTTTCATCTCCGTTAATGCGAGGTCATGTACCCAGTGCGTTGTCTTTGTTTGTCTTGAGCCTTTCAGCTAGCAGACTGCTAGAAGAAAAGCAGTATTGATACGACAACCAATAACCTAAAAATAGACGTCAAACTGTCTATCAATCAGGGATTGTTTTACGTATTCCGAATTACTTTCACAAGACCTCACTGCCATCACTTTTCAAATGTGTACACTCAAAAGCGCTAAAGAGCCCCGTCATCTGCAGTTCAAAAGCGCGCACGAAAGGGACCCCAAGTTCATCGCGTGACTAGCGCAATGTTTAAAAGCGTGCAGAGAGAGCGACGACGCGCGACCGAGCGCAGAGCCGTGAAAAGCAAGCGAAACACGGCGGCGCGCCGCAAGAGCCGTCACGACAGCACGCCGGCGTCGCTAGTGCGACCGTGCGCCCGTTTCACCGCGTAGCGCAAAGGCGCACAACCGTCACGAGCGCACTGCGCCGCTCGTAGCGCCATCTGTACTCTGACAAAGCAACTCAAAGAGGTGTCCGCGTCCTTGGTGCGCCCGTCTGCCCTGTCTTCCCCACTCCACGCGACAGCGCGCTCGTAGCGCCATCTGTACTCCGACAAAGCAACTGAAATAGGAGCCCGCAGCGCCCGTGCCTGCTTCCCGGCGCGCGCCCCTCCGCGCACCTCGCCATTGGCGCTCCGCAATAGCCCCTCCCCTCTCCCAGGCTCCTCCCCTCTTCTTAGGCCACGCCAGCGGCAGACCAGCGACATCTTTACCATATTTGCTAGCTCTAGTAACTCCGGAGAGCTCTGGGCTTCCTCGGAACCCAGTTGAAGAGAGCCAGGGCACTTACATTTCTGGTAGTACGCCACCAAAGCCTTGGAAATGGCTTGACGGATAGCTGCAAAACAAAGGAGAAATGTGCGCGGGTCACAAGAAACGCTACTTTATGAAAGCATACTTTCTCGCAAGTATCGAGACACTATCCCAGACTCCAACTGGCTTCACACTCTGCACTTGGACATATTCACTCTTTCGAAGCTTTCCCCAGAATAAATCGAACAAAAAAGAAACCATGGTGGAACCTCCTTGATGTGTACCCAGTTGTTTAAGTTTTCCCGGCTTGCACGCTCAGAAGCGCCGGCCCGCTGAGCTCCCTCCCATAGAAACGCGCATGTTCTTTCCCGCTTGGCGCGTTTGCTTATCCAATTCTTGCGTCCAAAAAGCCGCCAGTTCGGCGCCGGCCGATTCGCGTACCGATTAGCTGCGCGACGAAACATCCGCGGATGGTCTGTCTCCCGAGCGCAACTGCACGGAAGGGGAGACGACTGAGAGCGGGGATCGACCAAACCACTGCAGCGAGGCACTCTCGTCCCAAAGCTAATACAACACTTGTCACTACGGTCGCGGCGCTATCGCATCGAAGGGAAAAGAATCGCGCGCTGCTGTCGGGTAGTGCGGCAGACAGACCACCGTGACGGGCTCAGCGCAAAGCACCACTAGCTTGAGCAACCCGGGGCATAACGCAAGTGGGGTCCTGCTCGAGGAGGGTCAAAGCAAAAGCGACAGAGTCCCGGCCCCCCTTGCAATTATGCCCTAATAACATTTCTACATTCTGACTGAGACCAACACCACCCAAAAAAAATTGGGGCTCCATATTACGTTCCTGCTGGCGAATCCCTGGCATGCCGCAAGCGGCCAACACGCTCAAGCTTGTGCACCTCTTGGTGTGCGAAGCGAAAGAGGCGTCGCCGCGTGGGCCAACCAGTGAAGATAATAAAGGGAAGCCTTCTAGGTGCTGCTGCTAAAACTCCCTTACAAGAGACCCTTTGCTAAGTTACTCGAGCACCAAAGAGCATGCTGGCAACACATGTTGGCATCTCCACCAGGAACTGTTCTAAAGCAGAAGCCTAAAAGAAATGTCAGGGCGCATTTGTCGACGCCATACACCGATTGGGAACCGGCGAGAGGGACCCACCGTAGATCTGGGCCACGTTTCCTCCTCCCTTGACCCGAATGCGGATGTCCACGCCGGCAAAACGCTCCTTGCCCAGCAGGAGGATCGGCTCCAGCAGCTGGGGAACGGGGCAGCAGTTCAGTTTGCCGCACCTTTAAAGGCTTCATTCACGGACATTACGGAACGAACCAGCAGCGGCGCATATCAAATCAAATCAAATCAAATCAGTTTATTTTCTGCCACAAAAATACATTCGTGACAAGGGCGCTGGAAAAAAAGCTGCACGTAGCAGCTTGACGAGTCCCAGCGCCCCAATACAAAGCAGCAGCGGAACTGACATGAATACAAAAAAAGAACACAGTATATAACAATCACAAAAAAACAACAGCAAAAAAAAAACCATCTAAGTACACATATTTAGAGCTATCTGAAACGTAAATAGTGATTTTATATTACAAAATGTCTTGTATTGTACGACTGTTTACAGAGTATATATCAATTCCATGAGAAAAAAGAACGTTTAACAATAGCGGTAATTGGTAGCGGTATCTCTGAGTGCCGAAATTTGTTCTAGATACAGGAAGACGCCAGGGGGGCCTATGACGCGATGCGTAAATGGACTCGTTTTTTTCTAGTTTAGCAAGGTCTAAGATTATGTTAATATTTTTTCTTACACATTGTTGGTAATTTAAAATCAATCTGGAAGAATACATATTATATATATCAATGATTTTATGTTTTTCAAAAAGAGGAAGAGAGTGATAATCACGAGGTACATTTTCAATTATTCTAACAGCCTTTTTCTGTAAAAGACGCAATTTGTCTAAATTGCTCTTAGTAGTTGTTCCCCACACTAAATGGGAATAGCAGATTATAGAATGAAAAAGGGAATTGTAAATTAACCTTTTGATGTTTACGGGAAGTATATGCCTGTATTTATTCATAATTCCGACAACTTTAGAAAGTTTTTTATGAATGTATGTTACGTGATTATTCCATGACATATGACTAGAAAATAAAACACCGAGAGTCTTAACAGTATCAACACATTCTAATTTGCATGACCCAAAATACAAATCACGTGATATTTGAACATACGATCCCGGGCATTGAAATAGGACAACCTTAGTTTTAGTGGTATTAAGAATAAGAGAGTTAATATTTATCCAATGTTTTAATTTACCCAGAAAAACGTTTGCTATGGAGGTAAGTAGGTCTTCTTTGAAACTAGAAAAAAATATGCTGGTATCGTCGGCGTACATTATAAATTTAGCGGTATTTTCGATGCTTACTATATCATTCACGTATACGAGAAACAATAGAGGCCCTAGAATACTACCCTGAGGAACCCCGGAATAAATTCGTTCCGTAGTAGATACATAATTTCCAATTCGAACATATTGGGATCGATATTGTAAATAAGACGTTATGAGCGATAATGGGATACCTCGGATGCCATAACGTTCAAGTTTATTTAGAAGAATTTGGTGATTTATCCTATCGAAAGCTTTGCTTAAGTCTATAAATATACCCAACGTTAGAAGTTTTTTTTCAAAATTTTCTAATATCATTTCCTTCTGCACCAATAACGCGGTTTCCGTAGATTTATGTTTCCTGAAGCCGAACTGAGAATCAGTCAGTAGCGAGTATTTTTCAAAAAAATGTAGTAGTCGAGAGTGCACAATTTTTTCAATCGGTTTCGAAAAGACAGGAAGGATAGATATGGGTCGATAATTACTTATGTCATTGCGATCACCACCTTTATATACTACGGATACTTTCGCAATTTGCATCCTCTTAGGAAATATACCGGAAGACAATATAAGATTATACAGATGAGTTATACACGGTAATAGCAAGTCAACTACAAATTTCACCGGCCCAATTTGAAGATCCTCACAGTCATGGCTACGACTGTTTTTTATATTCATGAAAGTAGATTGTACTTCTTTAGTATCACATGGGTTTAAAAACATGGTTTCGTTTATTCTGGGGATATTATCTGCTGCAGAACTGTTATAACTACTTTTCCCTACGCTCACAAAATAATCATTAAACATATTCGCCAGCTCTACACCAGAAATAGTTCTATCGCCTATGCTTATACTAGTGACTGCTCTATCTTGAGTTGGATTCCGTATTAAGGAGTGCAAATGTTTCCATACGACTTCGGGCTGCTTTAAGCAAGATATATCAAATAGATCTGCATAATAGCGGTGTTTAGCTCGTTTCAATTCTGCATTGACAAAGTTTCTAAATTTTTTTAAATTCTAGCAATATTTTTTCATTTCGTGTCCTAAGAAAGTTGCCATAAAGAAAATTCTTCTTTTTAGTAAGTCTTAATAGTCGTTTAGTGACCCATGGTTTTTTGCACTTCTTATTACAGTTCCTTGTACGGAAACGAAGAATTCTTTTATCAGGTCTAAAAAGAGGTTATAGCACTTATCAGTTTCCCTCAACACGGGACTCCAATTGATAGCACCGATTTTTTCTCTAAACGAGTGTTGTAGCGCTAATATTTCGGGACATTACTGGAGGGTTGATAGCCCTATTACATGGTACATTGTTAATAATGAACATAACTATAGGGAGATGATCGCTTAACCCATAGCCCAGCACACCAGCACTAACGTTGTCTTCACAGTCGTTGGTTATAAACAGATCAATCAATGTTGACGTTGAGCACGAAACCCGAGTTGGAGGAATTATGACATTACTGAAATTATTTGACGTCAACAAATTCGCAAAGTCATCGGTAATGCGGGAAGCTTCGAGCATATTTATATTAAAATCACCACCCAGATACAATTTACAGCCTTCTTCGTTCGCAAAACAAAATAACTCTTCCAAAAAATTTATAAAGACCGAAATATTTCCATTTGGCGGGCGATATATGACAGAATAAATACGACAGTTTTTTCTAATGCAGAGTATTTCATAGTGTGGCGTAACAACAGAGTAATCACTGAGGAGCACAAAGCCGGAAACATTAGTCTGCAATGACACACCGCCTCCACGACCATAGTCGCGATTTAAGATAAAATTATAATAACCAGAAATAACAAAAGCATCATCATCGTCCTTATACCATGTTTCTGTTAACATTATAACGTTAAAAGGAGTTTCGATGGAATCAAAAAACAATGCAAGATCATCTCCTTTCGATCGTGCAGACTGTACATTTAAATGGAAAAAGCTAGTTTTTGTATTAGTCTGGATCTTTAAGAAATCACTTAGATCTTCTAGTGTCATAGTACCAAGATTTACAGCCATACCGAAAAAAAAGCGTACCCAAGCAAATACTTTCTTTCCTTTTCCCTTGGGGTTAGCAGATCTTATCAAGGTCGCCTTCACATGAGATTTGAACGATAGGGGCTCCATACGCCTTCCTAGCTAAAATCTTGCAATTTTGCACCCAGACGTATCGCCACTGGAATTGACGCTTCCTCGACACAGCCATTCCGAGCAACCTTTTCATAGAGGGGCACAAATGCTCGTTCACATAAACGGGCGATTCTTCATTCAGGCCAAGGTCCTGGCACGTTATCCGTTTTTGCTTTGCTTTGTTAAGGACGCTATCTCTTTTTTGCCGGCGTTGAAATTGAACTATCACGTTTGCTTTGCTCATCTCTTTAGTCGGAACACGATGACATACTTCAATATCGGAAATAGCAATCGGTTCTCCGATTATGTCTCCGAGCTTAGTTACCAGTTCAGTGACGTCTTCTGTGTCAATTTTAGGGATCCCTTTTATCTCAATGTTATGACGCCGCGAGTATTGCTCGCACTGGACGAGCCTTAGTTCATTTTCTTTTAGCGACATTGCGATAGCATCACATTTTGCAACCAGTTCTACATTTGCCTTCTTAAGAGCGGTGTTCTCGCTCACAACAGCATCAAGTTTTGCCTTTATGTCTTCCACGTCCTTATTTATGAAATTCACCCCCTCGTTAATTTCTTTTAACTCTTTGTTTATCTCACGTAGTTCATTTCGGAAGTCCCTCTCTAATGACTTGAACTCTTCTTTTATTTCGTCTTTTAGTTCGAGGATTAGCTTAGTCATATCCTTCGACATTCTCAAAAAGAAGAAAAAGAAAAACACAACTATATTACGAAAAACAGCAGCAGCAGCAGCTGTTTTTATATACTCCGTTCACCCCCAAGTCGAGACTGTGGTGGAAGTCACGTCCTCGTTGGACATACCCCTCTCTTTCATGATTACACTCTTGCCCACACGTGGGTCAGGCGATGAACGGGAGGCGGCCAACCGTTCCGGCGGGCCTCCCACCATGGCTTTAGGGGAATAGAGTACAGCACTGTTGAGGACGGCACTACATCTCATACACCCGTAGCGATTTTTCCGATAATGGACCTTCTTGTCGTCTGTCTACGTCCGCAACACTTTGCATCGTCCCGTTTCGGAAACATCTACCGAAGCAACGGTCCAACGTTCTCGGTCACACCCACAAAACGGCACTTGGTACAAGTTAGACTGTCCCGCACTGGGAGTTTGGCATTCTTTCGAAGATGCTAACAGGTCTAGCAACCACGACCAGAGCTCTGGCAACCAAATGTTTCCCCGCCATACTGCATTACTAATTCGTGACCCTAGCCACCCCATGTCTGCAGTGACTGTAAGTCAATGGCTCCTCCCACGGAATCAACCACTCCCACTCATCTGTAACAATCAATCTCCAAAATATGGCAGTCATTCCTTCCCCTTATTTGTCTAGAAAATAACTTTTCAATATTTCAACCACCACCACAATTGAACGCAGAAAGTGTTTGCTACACAGAAACTGCAAACATATGCTCCGAATCGCCCGACCTTTTCTGATTGAGAAACTATCTTTTTGTTTGAAAACAGGAAAAAAAAACCTACTTTGTAAGTTTTGTTCTTGGAGTATGGACGAAAGTGGGCAGTTTTTTAATGCACCGACCAATTGCAGGTGTAACAGAAGACCGATGCCAAGTCGCATCCGCACAAACAAGAAACACAACCATAATTTGAACGGTTTCCAGGTAACACCTGAGACATGACAGGTATGACAATGCCTAACAACAGCAAGAACATGCTGTGGATAAAGGCTACCATGTTGGTCCACCAGTACAAAAGGC